CTGGATCACATTTGAGACATGGAAGAAGTTTGTAAAATTTATGAAAGAGGAAAGAATAAAAGAAGAAAGGCGAGAGCAACTCCGCCGGAAGGTGGCTGAAATTCTCCCAGACTTCCAGGCGCTTGCGCCGCGCTGAGCCCGGGTGCGGCGGCGGCGGCGGACACTGGCGCTGAGAGCGGGTGCCGCGTGTGGGCCGGGCGTCCGCACGCAAACACCTGCTCTGTGGCCTACTGGGCACTTCTTGGATCAAAGGGCCTCTCTGGGGAATTTTTACTTCCTTCTTTGATTTCTGTTGGATTGCTAATTAGTTCACTAGAGCATTTATCACAGCAGGATCAAAGAACAGTGTAAAGCTCAACTATTCAAATGCATCCTATATATTTTTAGCATCAGAAATTTTAAAGAGTACAAGTGTTTGCTTGCCCGAGTCTCTGAAAGAAAATGTGTCCCTATAGTTTAACATATGAGTTGTTGACAAATGTTAATAGAAATTAAAGGCAGTGAGTACACAGAAAAGGAGTCACAGGTGGTCCGTGATCTAGTACCGTAGCATCGGCAAGAGGCCCTCTGCCCGACGCCATCCTTTGTGCCCACCCTGCTGGAGAGCCGCATCTCAAATGGAACCCAGTGCAGCTGCTGCAAAGGGCAGCAATTGTCTCCTCATTGCAGGGCAACTGTGGCACCAAAGATTCTTCTCTTCAGTGCATCCTGACAGGCATGAAGGGAAATCCAGAAGCTAATGACTCTCTCAGGGGCAGTCCAGCAGTTCGTTAAAACGTCTGTGCATGCTTCCAACTACAGCTTCTAAATAATACACTCCGTCTCTCTTCTAGTCCTCCGCTCGGTTTGATCCACATAACGAGATGAATTCAAAGAACGATTTTAAGGTGCAGATGACTATAGAGACTGGCAAAATGCTCTTCTATGAATTGTCTGAAATACCTGCTAGAAAAAAATTTTTCATTACAAAATACATGTTCGTTATAACAAATCTAAGTAATAAGTGCACCCAGTAGAACAAGTCCCTTGCAGCCCTGAGGTAACTGCTAGTAGTTGCTAGGTTGAAAATTCGAGTTGGTAAGATAAAGTTCAATATGTGTTCAATAAATTGTTGTTGTCCTTACTTCCTAGAAGGGATATCCAGCTCCACCACCTGCACAATGATTTACATCCTTTTTCTGTGGAACATGTGTGAGGATTTACTCAGAAATGACAAAACACCCTAAATTGAACTTTATTCCTTCTACAGTGTCCCTGTCCCCACATCTCTTTTCCTTTAATATGATTATACAGTTGTCATCTAAAAACTCTTTTTAAGACTAAGCCGCTTAGTCTTAAATCCCATAAAGCTTAAGTTTCCTCTCTTAAGCTTTCCTTTATTTTACTTCACCTCAAGCATCAATTAGCCATTGAGTCTTTAGCAGCACATATTCTGACTGGGCCAGTGAGGACTTTTTACCTACTTATGGAACCTCCTAAAGACCCACAGGAAAATCCCTTAGTAAATGACCTGTAGTTCTTGCCGGGCTATCCTAAAGACATGATTAAAAATAGTGCTGCTGACAAAATGCCCAAACAAGCAGTACCCCTGGCCTATAAAACGAGACAAAGTAACCACCAGGAAACGGGGTGTTTAGGGCCAGAGATAACAGGCCCGCAGGACGGGACACCTCGGGAGCCGGCGGAGCGGCCCAGCTCTAACACAGGCTTCCCTCGAGGCAAAAGAGTTCAGGAGACACACCAATACACACCAACTACTTCCCTTAAAGAAAGCACTTTATTTTCCATTTAAAGCAAACTGGTCACAGTACATTATTTTACATAAATGGCAGTAGTTTAAATCTCCATTTAAAAGGCCTTTTGTCTGAGTCTGAGGTGATAAGAGGATACGAATACATGTATAAAAACAGTGCAAAACGTCTAGCCCACAGCCTCCCGCGTTGGCGGCAGGAATCCCCTTTAATGTTGCTGGGCCAGTTGCATTAAATATCGAACATTAAATATTCCTGGATGTCCTTTAGCCTAACATGAGACCCAGAAATGTAATCAAATGAAAAGGTTCAAAAGTCCTAACAACGCAAATCATCAAATCCCCCCCAGACCACAGGGTCAGAGCAGACTGAGCTTCCCAGTTCTGGAACATGGCATCGTGTCAGTGGTGCCATGGGAAGAAATACATGATGTGTGTTGCATCGGTAACTAGAATCGACTGGCTCTGGTTTTAAAGCTTTGCCTTTGAGGAATGAATTTTCTAGGAGAGAAGGTGCCACCACGAAGGCTAGAGTAGCAGTTAAGTCAAAAGCCCAACTCAGAAGTAGCTGGAATTAGCTGCAGCCTCTGAGAGATCTGTCTCCATGAACCACTCCGTCTTTGGCTACTGCCGGCCACTGTAGTGAAGCACGGGGTGCCGACGCAAGTGGGGTAACAGCCCATTAGCAACAAGATTACATGTAGCTAATTCTGCAGAAAGTTTCTGTTAATCACAGCAAACACCCACAGGAACACAGGGGACTTTTTTATTAGAGTTAAGCATAGCTCTCCTTCTTCCCCTGCATCACACCTTGGCGATGTTTACCATAAAACGGCATACTTGCCCCGCTGCTGCTGAGAAAACCAGATTCCCAACAGATGCCTCAAGCGAAAGTCTCTATCCTCCCTTGCTTGTTTGAGGAAATTTTCTTTTTTCAAATGCAGGGTACCCACATATGGCTAAAATGAAGTCATATAAACCCACTTACCTCATTTAAAGAGACCCTTAAATTTCACAAAACACTGTTAAACATCCTGGTTAAAACTGTGCTTCTAGATGTCATATTTTTGCTTACGGTAGTTGAGTTTTGTAATAAAAAGCTAATGTCCTACCCAATGGAAATATAGTCTATGAAGCAGATGGGTCAGTATTCTAGTGAACCTTACTGGTATTGTGTTTTCTGGCAGTGGGAGATTCTAGTATAGAAAATTTTCTCTTACTAAAAATATTAGAAGTACCAAGGACTATTGCATAAGAAAAAGTTCATAGCAGTCTTTCTGCTAGGCAGGTGGCACAGTGGATGACAACAATTACTTCATTCAGCAAAGGACAACACTACTTGAATAGCAAAGACTTCCGGTATCCTAAGCAGACACAGAGGTGGCTGAGGTGAGATGACCAGCAGTGTCCCTAAAACTCACTTAAGGCTTGTTCACGGTCAGTTCATTTCAGGTGGGCCCAGCTAGAACCACAAAGTACTCTTTGGGTATCATTAAAAAAGCATTTTAAATACTGAAGGACTTTCTCCTTTCGCAATCCTGATCCTTAACTATTTTTCCCTTAAATCTTGCGAATGGACCCATTTCCCTTCCCCAGGAATAGCACACAATGGCATGACCATAATGTAAGTGGTCAGAATATAGTAGATGGTTTGCTAAAGCTCCATATCAGTATGTTTATTAACAGGCTGAGGATGCAAGGGCAGGGGCGGGAGGGGGGTGGAGAAAAGGGAGTTGTGTTGTGCTGGGGAAGGGCTTGCCTCTATGGCCAACAAACTGCTGGTTTATAGGACTGCAGAGCAATTCTCCCATGGCCGCTGCCACCGCCACCACCACAGGTTTCTCTGGGACTCTTTCGTTCCTGGAGACCTTGTCCTTTAAAAGGACAAAATCCCTCAAATAGTTCCAGGTCATAAAAAGGTGTAAAAATCTAGGAGCGTAGACTTAGGGTGTCCCGGGGCCTACAGAAACCCTGCTCACAAAGAGCCCCTTGTTTGCTGCTCCTTGTGGTGCAAATACCTCAGTAGGCTTTTATCCCCATAAAACCACAGAACTTTTTCAAAAGTTTGAGCTTTCTCCTGTAAAATGCCAATCATGATCTCAAGGAACTTAAAACAAGCAACTTCATCCCAACCAGCCGGAGTAATATACAAGGAGTCCTCATGCAGGTGAGGGAACCTGAGAGGCCCCATGTAGATAAACCATTAGGGCTGTGCTATTATAAAAATGGCAGTCGTTCCTGATTCTCCCACATGACTGCCGTCTCTTGGGTACTACTCATCTTTATGTCATATTTTGATGGTTGTTAAAGATTTGCCAAGAGGCTAAAATTACCGACTATACTATTCCTTCTATGAATTCTATTATCAACCGTTAGACGATCAGAGTTGGCTATACACCTGGCATTCAAGAGACTACAACTAGAGAGTTCTGGCCACATGTGCTGTCCTTGACATTATTCCTCTCTCTCTTATCTCAAACCTAGCAGAACAGAATTAGTTCTCTCAGATCCAGTGTTAATTCCAAATGAATGCTTAACTCTGGGCCAGAGCCAGGGCATCACTGTAGAAACCACAGACTGCTAATACCCCAGACTTGCTCTTTGGCTCATCCCAGTGGAATACGGAGCCTCTCACTGGTTAAACAATCCATCTCTGGGGAGAGCAGCGACAAGCCTGTATAAAGAGGTGGTGACTGTCTTAAGGACAGCTTTGTTTCCCGGCAGAACTAGGGATGGTGCTAGCTACAGACGGCAGAGTCGCAGGAAGTACCAGTATTTCCTCTCAACATTTATGAACTTCTTACGACAGCAGCATGCACAGACAGACTGAAAAAAACTGGCAACATTTCCCCAATACTAAGCTATAAACCAAAGTAAACTTAAGGACTCATGAATTTTCTTTGGGACTGCAAAATAAGCACATGTAAAAAACTAAGTATTTCAAGAGGGCATTTTCCCCATCCAAAATTGCCTCATCCTAACTCTATGGCAGAACAGACCCATTCTCTATATAAATATTTAATCTTTTATACATTTTCAGTTTCAAGATACAAAAAAAAGATAAGATTTTAGGAAGAGCTAAGGAAGAACCATATCCATTAAGTAGTGGAAACCATATATACCCTGTTTTTTCTCTCCAAGTGAGATATTTTGTCTAGGGCAAGGTGAATGAGAAATAATGTGCAAGTAGGAAGATGCCCATCGACTCCTCAAAGAGAGTTCATGCCAGAAGAATATAAATGCCAAAAAAAATCGAGCCCTTGATATTGACCAGCCACCCTACCCAGGAAAGAGTGTAAACTGTTCCCCCACAGGAGTGTCTGTTCCCCTCTTCCAGCCTCATCAAAAGTGTGCTAGCACCTTCCCAGGTGAAACATGGAAAGAGGAAAAAAACAGTAATGCCTATTCGAGTTTGGAGTTTAGAGTAAATCCAAACAATAAATATAGAAGAAATGAGATAAATGTAAGGACTCACCATCTAAACTCATGACCACTGTAACTTAATACTACCAATAAATAGAACTGTTTTGACTGTCCCTTCAGAATCAGATGACAGTGCGAATCCATCCAATCATCTTCTGTTTGAGTAGCTAATGTCTAATACTTCAGAAAGAGAAATTACCGTAACTGTACAATGTGGTACAATGTAGTATTTCAGGATCTTTCTTTCACTCTGAAATGCTGAAAACGGATTCCTCGGATAGTTTTGGCTTCTGTATTCTGACCTACAAACGTTTTTCTCGGTCTTTGAGTTTTCCTAATAATACTTCATCCCTCTTGGGTGCTTCTGTCATTTTCCAGTGCTTTCCACACACCTGGTCCCTTGCACGACCCTCCCGACCGTGAGGTAGCCAGGGCAGGCGGCAGCACCCCACTTTACGGATGAACCTGAGACTTGGGGAAGTGACTCAACGAAGGGTCACATGGCTATCAGGAATTGAAAGGAGGACTGGAAACGATCCTAATCCAAACTCTTTCTCCCCTGCTAAGGGATGGGAATGGCTTCTATCAAGCTGTGCATTAGCAATCCGCATCGTCTCCTGCTCCTGGTGACTGAGTTAGTGAATAAGGTGACTGGAAAAGAATGGCTCTACTTTTACTGCTTCGATATAAAAATCTCTTAAGGTGAAATCAGAAAAATTCATTTCTTCCCAGTCCTGTGTCTAAACCTGAGCATGGCCCTAGACAGCCTTTAAGAAACGGGGGATAAAAGCGAACATCCTGCACGGACGCCGACGTGTACACTGGGAGGGCGCAGAGGGGAGAGCCACCCCTCACAGAGCCACACAGAAGGCACTTCAGACAATGTCCTCGGCTGGGTGGTGGCAGGGGGCGGCGCCCAGGGTGGAGAACTGATGCCAGTTCCGCAGGAAGCCCCGGTTGTACTGGCCCGTGTCCACGATGAGCCCGCAGAGGAGCCGGCGCCCCGTCTTCTGACGCAGGGCCTGCTGGACTTCCCGCTCGGTGACGTTGTAACTGATGTTGATCAGCTGGATGAGGAAGATGTACGCCATGCCCGCCGTGATGATCACGGAGTACCACACGCAGGTGAAGGACAGGGCGGAGCTGGGAGGACAAAGGGCGGGTCAGGATGCCGACCGTTTCGGTCAGAAAGCCGGCACCATCCTCACGTCTGACACACACAGCACCCATCACCAAGGGCTCTGGTGCCTTCCCCAACTATCCCAATTGGAAGATGCTTTTCTACCCTCAGAACACCAAAATGCTTAACCTGTGACTACTCACATGTCCTGTTTTATACTGTCATTCTTGCTGCCTCTTTTCCTAGGATGTTATATTAGAATAGCAAGGACATTTTTGCACTTGGTATCCCCCACACAAACACAGCGCCTGACATAACAGCATTCAAAAGCTATCAAATGAATGAACAATTCCTAAATTATTCGTAACTGAGGGGAAAACGAAGGCACCATGACATGCTATAAACGTCCCCCAGGAAGCTGGAATGGTGCCAAAGCTGTCCGTCTCCACTCTCTTCAGTACAATGGTGAACGCAAGGGAGACGTGAGTCCTTTACTTCCATGTAGGAGCACCGTCACATTTCAGGTCCAGCTTCTTCCAGCCGAACCGAATCACACAGGACAAGAAAGCTCCTTTCAGCTCCTTACAAAGACAGGAGGAGAGGCTGACTAATGTCCGCCAAATGATTATTTTCAAACATTCGCAAATGAGTTAGCGGGAAATGAACCCATCCTGAATCTTCATTTGTTAAGCTGAAAGGGACTCAGAGATGATTACCCCACCATAAAGATGAGGAACACCAGGGCTCAACAGGGTGACGTGAAGCACCCATACAGAGGGTGGGTACCCATGGCGGACTGTGTTCCTCATTCCACGTCAGCGATCCACAGAAAGTCCACAAAATTCATGCTTAGTGACATACAGACGTGCTCTGCTGTTAGGACATTTATCATGCGCAGTGTGACTGCAGAATTTCACAACCTACTAACACTCTCAATATAGAAAAATAAAAGGAACTTACCCCGAGCAGGAGGACCAGTCTGTTCTAATAATGCCCACAAATATCTAGATCTATGATGGCAATGGAAGATCTGTCCACAGACTAAGAAGCAAATACCTTCACAGGGGCACGAGGTGGGTAAAGCAGGGATTATTCTGAGAAAAGAGTGGGAAGAAAGAAAAGGACCCGGGGGGCAGCGCTGTCCTAGCTCGGACTGGGGGGGTTGGGGAGGGGTTGGCCAGAGATACCAAACAGCATCTGCATCAGAGGGAAACGAGAGGAGGAGGGCACAAAGAACCCAGGCAGGGCCCCCCGCCCCCCGCAGTGATCTGGGGAGGGGCTCGCTGGGCCCAAAGCTGCAAAACCCCAGCTTCTGACAAGGCATGGAGATCTTCACAATATATAAATGTGCCCCAAACTAACAAAGGAAATTTTGACCTAGATACCACAGTAATCATGAGCGGTGATTTTTTTAAAAAGTAGAACAGGACAAACCAGTGGAGGCTAAAAAGTAAATGCTATAGAAATTGTGAGAGCTCCACAAAAGGGTCAGAAGCAATAAATCAAGATAGGGCTAAAGAGCACGAGAAAGCCACAATCAAGTGACTTGCCATGATCAGTTAGGACAAAACAGACCCCACACATCCCCTGGGACTCTTAGTTTACGGCTCTCGGTTCACCATTGCTAGCGGGGACGGGGCGGGGGCACGTAAGTGGTCATGTGAGTGACCCGGTCCGAATGCAGGGTACTAGTTCCTCACTCTGTAAAGGTCAAAGAACCTTTTGCCATCACCCTAGAACAACTCACAATTTTGTTGGCCATTTCAAAGATACCCAGCATCCAATAACCTGTCCTATGTTTTGGCTGAAAACTCCTAACCTAGCAGCAAAGCACGGCCCCTTGCATTAACAGCAATGCCCACTCTCTCGTCTCTGGGCCTCGGTGCTCTGGTAGTCACATCTCACCTGTAATCTGCATAAACTCCAGGACAATAGAAGAGAGCTGTGAAGACACTTCTATCTCTACAAATGGTGTCCAAGGTCAATGTTATCCCGTACACCGAGGTGAGCAAGAAGATCGAAAGGGCAAGTATAAATGCTTGATGGTTTGATTCTCCAACACAGCTATTTATCCTCAAAACAGCAGAGGGGGAAGAAAAAGCAAACATTTTTTAAAGTTCTTGATACAGACGGGAGCTAAATGTATCATGCTGATGATCAATGCATAATGAATATAAACGCTGAACGACTATGCTGTGCACCTAAATCTAATATAACATTGTAGATCCACTATAGTTCAATGAAAAAGGAAAAAAATGTTCTCCATATAACTCACATAATGAACACGAAAGTTTCAAAACAGGGATCATGGGAATTTCAGCTATTAAAAGGTAAGTTCTCTTATTTTTCAACTTTAGGGAATTAAAAATCTGCCCACTGAGAGATGTAGTCTTGTATTTTCCGCTTCTTCCAAAGTGAAATCATATCATTAGGACAAAGCTAAGTAAAAAGCAGAACCCAGCTAACAAATCTTTCTAAATCGTAATGAGTCTATTACCCAACCATGAAGAGGATTAATATTGTAACTACCACAATAAGGAAAGGCTGGTATCAGTTAGGAAAACTTAAAAAACCAAAAGTATTACACACTATGGGAAAATATATGTTAAATACATATATTAATACAAAGATCCCAAGAGGTTAGAAATGTGTTGTGGGGTGGAGAACAACTCGATAATACGCAGACTACTTGTCAGGAAGAAAGCTCTGTCTCGTGGCCATTTGTCAGGCGGAATGTACGGGCGTCTCTCCAGCCCACCGCACACCAAGAGGCCCCAGTGGGCAGAGAGCTTTTTATTCAGAGCTGTCAGGCCCCCTGCAAACCAACTCTTGTAAATGGGCCATCACACACGCACACACGCACACACACACACACAAGAATACATGAAGACTCAGAAGTTAAAATCTAAAAGTGAAAATACCTGTTTATTCCTAAAGAAAGCCCCAGAAAAGAGCTATCCCTGTGCTTGAGGTCCACTCCAAGGCCCTCCTGGCCTTGCTGCACCCTCTCCGCCCGCTACGTGCCCTCCCATGCGGGGAGGAAGGTATGCTACAAGCATGACCAGAATCCTAGCCATAAAAAGCGTACTTCACTCACCACAACTGCCTTGAGAGCTAAGAGCTAGAGAGTAGCAAACATGCTACTTACAGCATTCACATCTGAATAAACGCTAACCCCTTTTAGATTTACTCAGTGAAGCAGCAACATTATCTTTCAAAGTTGTGCTTCACATGGCAGGGGTCTTCCGTGTCCTCATTAGGCACTGGTCAGCTGGCAGGCACTAAAAAAGCCCATTTATCTGCAAACAGCAAATAACAAAATAGGGAGTTACCTGGCGGGGCCTTATCTCAACAATGTAGGCTAGGAGAAATCAAAATGATGAAGGATGTATGGCGAGGGGACAAAGTCACCTACAACTACGGGAACACTTTCTTGAGCTCCGTGTTCAAAAGGCACAGGCCAGGGAAATATACCTAGATTGATTCTGATCCATTCTTTTCTAAAAAACGTCACTCACCTGCAAATACTTCTCTTTTACAAAGGAGAAAGTCAGTGAGGGGCGGCTTGGAAGAGAACAGCAAACTAGCAACAACAACAACGCCCTTCGGGAAATGACTGAAGGAACTACATCTGCGGAACTGGGAAAGCGGATGACTAAGTGGGAACATCATACCAGCCCACAAATATCTGCAAGGTGCAAAGCTGGGAAGGAGTGAAATTTTAGGATGGCACAAAGGAAGATCAAACAGGGCCAGGGTCTTAGGGGACTTTACACCTTGCAAGCCTCCAAATCTTTCCAGCATACCAGACACAGTGATGATCCATTCTCCGGACGCAGACGCCGCATAGCCGGCAATGCCACGCCCGGGCCGGCCGCACCAGCTGACACTTGGCACACCAGTCCTCCTTCACCTTGGCAGGGCTTCCGGCCAACACCCTGCAAGGGCCCTTAAGATCGTCCTTCGGCGTGCGGTTGCTGAGACTGCCCGACGATCCCGCACCGGGGAGCCCTCTGGTCCTCTCCAGCCCGTCTCTGCTCAGGCATTCAACTTGGCTACTGCTGAGAGATTTGTCCTTGCTTGCTGGATTTCTGAGGTAGCCTGGATTCTTCTTGGCTCTGTACAGGGCCAAGAGTACCAGAAATAACCCGCAGGTAAGAAGAGCCAGCTGAGTGGGCCCCACACGCCCTTTGGGGACCACTTCCTGCAGGAACACATAGTACATGTAGCCCAGAGAGAACAGTCCGAGGCCCAGGAAAAACAGAGTCTGTTCTTTCCTTCTGTGAGTGAGGTAGTAGTACCACAGAGCCAGCACAGGAAGGGAGGTCAAAACCACCACCCCCAGGAGGAAATGCCAGGAAGCCACGCGGAGGAAGACGGGCAGGAGGATGAGTGGGGGGATGATGCTAATGTTAACTTTTTTGGCTCCCCTAAGCCAAGGAATTCGGAGGCGATCAGAAATAGTATCCATGATTCTTTCGCAAGTCTCTGGCTGCATGGATTTACATGTGATCCATCTAGTCAGAAGAGCACAAAGAGAAGGTTTGCTAAATTCAAAACCACGGACCACTGTAGGCTAAACAGCAGGATAAATGATAAAAGAGGCCAAAGGCCAAGTACTCTCCTTCCATACCACTAAACACGAGCTCTTCGGATCACATAGCACTTACTTAATATGAAAGAGAAGACAGTGTTTAGAAATCTAACAGTTAACAGTATTTCTCCACAAAGCAAACACATAGGAATACACACACATACTCTGTACAAGTACTGTCCAGACTTGGGTGAGTATAGATCCTCAAAAAAAATTTCATGATCTAGTTGTGAAGACAACAGGGATTCGGGAAGCATCAGAGAAGGGACAAAGCAGCAAAATCGCCCAGTGAACTATTGTGGCCAAACTCCATAAGGTGTGCTCAGAGGAGAGTGGACACTGCTGGGTGGAGTCATGAGAAGGATCGCTGTGAAAAAGGTGGGACCTGCGCCCCACCTCGACAGCAGGCCAGCATGTGGCGGGGGCGGGGGGCGGGAGGCAGGCAGGCGTTCCAGTGGAGTGGCACGTGCACAGCACAAACCCGTCCTGTGCCTGGGGAGTCACGAGTCTAGCAGGGCCAGGGGGCTGCACGAGTTAAGAGTGGAGAGCTAACTAGTCAGAGCGAAATGACCGAGCTTCGTGGACGCACGGCATTTATTGACATGTTTGCACGCTTAGGCTAGCAAGACAAGGAATGATAACTCTTGATTGTAGACAAATAATTTAGAAAAGTAAGGCAACAACTTGGACATGAGGGGCGGTAAGTTAAATGGGAGTCACACAGAGCAGCAGGACAGAGGGAAGACTGGGAGCCTATCTCCAGGGAAGGGTACGGCAGGAGCAGGCGGGAGAGCTCAGGGACGGCCCAGGTCTCAAGCACTAGGAGACAGAAAGAGAAGGTTAATGGAAGAGCTGTGGTCTCGAGTGATGGAGGTTATGGAAACAGCATCATTTTTCCATTCATTAAAGCAGAGTGCTCCATTTTCTCCGTATGGATTTTAGACTAAGTCCATTTAAAAATACCTGTAAAAAAGACTAACGACACTATCAAGGAAGAATTACAAAAGGTCTATAGGGTCTTGAGGGCTCTGGTAGTAAACTACAGTGGTCCCAAGACGCTTTTCACATCTAGATGAATGCACCAAGCTCTAAGTCAGCGACGTGCCACTACAGTGACTTTTTTTGACCGGAAGTAATCATTAATAGGATAAGCAAGTTTCCAACATCCTTATTCTCCTCCCACATTGTGCTTTCCATAGGGCCAACAATTTTTAGGTATATAATTATTTAGAAAATAGATTAAAACCTCATTTTTACTGTTTGGTACAAAATTTTTTCTCTGATGTTAAAAATCTTTTTGGATAGTAATTTGCAAGATGGGATAACGGTGAAAATAAAAGCCAAATACGATGATCATCAGTCAAGACGTTGCTACCCGCGCTGAAAACAGCCAGTCCAGCACAGGGACATGCCCCCCGGCTGGATTTCCTCCCCAGGGACAAGGGGTGAGACTAATGGGAACAGCAAGAACATGATCTTTCAACCCTTTGTGGCCAGGTGCAGTCCAGCCTCGAGTAGTCGATCTCTAGATGCTGAGAACACTGAGAATGTAGGAAGGTCCTAGTAATAATGTGTTCACTTTAAATGTACAGATTCTGCTGGTCTGCACTTTATTTTTTATACATTTAACTTGCCACTATCCCTTTATTTGCCTGTTCTCTCCATCATCTTCTCCCTTGAAGTGAAAAATAATAATGCCCTACTAAACTGAGCGGAATAGACAGCTGCGCAGTTGTGCACTACTGAGTAATTCACCTTCATAAAATCCTCACACCTGACACATAAGACAACTCTCAATTTTAGATCCTTGGGAATAGCATCAAGAGCAGATTCTAGTGTTCTGGATGGCTAAGCTTAAAGTAAGCATGGTAGTTCTCCAAAGAGCCAGTGGGGTCAACTTCAAGAAAGACTCTGCCCTTACCTATCACACCCTTCATCGAGATCCTGGCAATCACACAAACAAGCGGCCACGTGGTTCTTTTCCCCATTTCGATCGATGTACTCGCAGCAGCACAGGGGCTCCAATTCAGGTTCTTCCGCTTTGTTTTTCTTCAGTGGCTTCATACTGCCCTTCTGTGTCACGATTTCCACCTGTCACCACGAGGTTTAAGAAGCCCTCAGTAGGTAAAGGCGAAAAGAACACGACTCACATCTTGTAAACGCATCCACGCCTCTGATTATCCGCCAACGCCTGAGAAATCAAACAGGAGAGGGAAGAGGGGGAGGGGGAGTCTCATTTTCATCAGGCTTTTCTTGCTCGGCTCGGCCAGACAGGGAGCTCTAGGGGCTCCCAACCGCCTTCACCGCCCCTTCCTACCAGGGCTGGCGCCGTCTGGGTACCAGCGGTTCCCATGGTGACAGCCGACCACACGGGCCCGGACAGCCGGGGCGCGGGCGGCTGCGCTCACCTGCCGGTGCAGGATGGGGAGGGCCGAGCGGCCCCCGCCCAAAGCCCAGGTGCAGGTGGAAACTCACCCTCTGGGCTGCGGGCGGAGAAGGGCGTGTGCCGCGGGGGCCGGCGCCCGCACCCGGCTCTGGGGAGGCCACCAGACGCCCGTGCAGCGCTCGGGGTCGCCGTCCAGCCCTGTGTCTCCAGCTCCGCGCAGGGCGCACCTCTCCCGCCCCCGCCGACCGTGAGGACGTGGGCGGGCCGCGAGCGCCGCCCCGCCCGAAGAATGACCTTGGAAGGGAAGTTACCTGGGTTCCGGGGCCGAGGTGCGGCTGCAGCCAAAGAGGCCCAGGTGGAGGGGAGAAGGGTAGATTCCTCCCGAGGCGCGGACGCGTCTTCCGAGCTCTGCTCCGCTGGGCTCTCTGTATGACGGCTGGAGTCCCGGAGACCCCGGCTCCGCTCCGCCGCGCCTCCGCCGCCGCCCACCTGTGAGCACAGGCGGCCGCGGCCCGGGCAGCTCGCCCGCCTCCCCGTCGCTCTCCTGCCCGCCGGCTCGGCGTGGCAAGTCCGCGCGCGCTTCCGGGTGCCCCGCCCCCGGCGCCGGGGATCCCCTCCCGCCCGCACGTGCGCCGCCCGGGGCCCGGCGGAGCCGGCCAGTCAGGCCCCACCCCCGGCCCGAGGCCCTGGCGCCGGGAAGAAGCGAGGACCTGAGGACCGGCACCTGGGAGTGGGTGCCGGCGGCGGGGCCTAGGGCTGGCCCGGCACGCCCGCCCCGCCCGGCCCCGGTGCGGCCCCGCGGGTGGCTGCGGGCGGTACGTGGGCGGGGCAACCCCAGAGCCCTGGGCCGGGGGGAGGTGCCGATGGAAAGACGGGAAACCCGGGAACCCGGAGGATTCCCTAAGCACTGGAGACCCGTGGGTCGGCCAGTCTTCTTTCGGACGCCGGCCACAAGCTTAGGTGGAGATCTCCACCGCAAATTGTTACCGAGGTACCGCCCCCACATTCTCCAGCCTTCCCTTAAAGGCCCATCGCTGTCCCTGATCTGTTCATTTATAAAGCTTGTTCATTTTCATGATTTCTGGCGAGCAGATTCTACATTCGACCGGCAGGCCGACTAGTACTTTTGTCCCAACAGTCTGCATATTTGAAATGAAACAGTCTGCATATTTGAAATGAAATGAATCCTCTTTGCGTTTTATTTTTGCACAAAATTTTTTAAAGAGTGTAGGCCCATATACACGTTTTCACTGTAGCAGGTTTCTAGTTATTTGTGTTTTCGGGGTTTTTTAACAGAAAAAAAAACTACAACTCAAGACATTTTGGGTTTTATTGATATTCAATTTACATAACAGGCTCAAATGCAATTAATTAAGTTCTGCATACATACATGTTTAGTCTTAATATATAAAGCAACTTTGGTAATTTTCTTTGAGGTATATTTATGAAGTACAAGTTTTACAGAAACATCACAAAAATATTGTTTGCCACTGATCTTTTTTGTGAATTTAACAAAGTCTTCAAGTTTATAATCCAGTGACTCACAGCCCCACTTCATAAATCAAAAAACCCCCGGGTAAGTACACTGGTACCCCAAGGTAGGTTTGTTGGGAATCACCCAGAGAAATCCATTTTCCCTGTACTTAATCTCAAAAATGACTTTAGCTATCTCCTGTGGCTCTGGGGAAAGAGAGAAACATGTAACTAAAGGCAAGCATTGTCCAAACAGTAAGAATATATACCAATTATTGGGCACTGTCTTTCTCTTGTTCCAAAGACATCACTTGTATTGAGACATATATGCCTAAAAACTTTTCATGAAAGAGCCAAAGCTTCTGTCTGATTTCAGACTTCAGTCAGTGCCCTAGTATTGGGACATAGTGCCCCCAAAAGTTTTTATTGAAGAGCTAAAGTTTGTGTCTGGTTATAACTTACCAGCTGAAACAAGTCGCACACATGAATGAATAAATGAAGACTTATGTAGCTACTGAAAAGTAATCCACAAATTATTTTCAACCAGGTGTTTCACTTCCACCATAAAAGAGTGCTAAGCTCAAGCCAAGCTTAGTTCAAGTATTCATTTGATCTGTCACTAAATGCCCAGATTTTAACATAATCCTCTGGTTCTTAAAATCAGAGCATGGTTCTTCATTTTGAGTGTTGGTATCCTATGTTTCCTTTTCCAGAACTGACTCTTCTGCCATTTGATAAATGAAGGGGCAAGATAATCTCACCTCTGATAGCTACCTGAAGAAGAAACAACCATTTCTTCAGAAAAATACAACATGGCTCAAGAATGTTTCAGATAATAATTACCAACTTGCAGACTCAAAAGGTTGGACTATTGAATTTGCATGCTAAATAAGTGAAGACATTGTAATATTTACAGTATACAAACTTAGAAATGTTATATGCCTGAAAATTGGTCCTTCAAAAGTAGTAATGATAAAGAGGTTTATTCTTTTATTGTCTTCTTTAGCCTCTTGAATGTATCTCAACTGGGAAAGCAGCCTATCGGACACCTACTGATTCTGTGCTAACAGATAAAGCATCAAGCTTCAAACCCCACTGTAAAAATCAGTTCAGAGTGTCTCATTTTCTTTTTGTATCAGAAATTCAAATCCACAACATATTTCATGCTTCACTAGAGAAATTCACTGCTTAGAATTATGTATAAGAAGTGAAAGAATGGATTGTAAGGCTATCAGAAACTAATGTTATTAAAATAACATTATCAATTTAATGTTATTAAAAAGAATGTTCATATTAGAAGTACCAATAATGAGAAAATGTGGAAATGTTCCTGTGACAATTAAAATCCTTCATCCTCTGGTTTTCTTTAAGATATTTTCTTTTACTTCCAAGTATCTCTACATTTTCAGGCCTTGAGATCACTAGCTTTCGACAGTCATGCCAGTCTTGTTCTTACTTAGTAGATCAAAAGTTCTCTGAAGCGTAATGAGTGAGCTCTTTAACTGCAAACAAAATTAATTTTCAAAATCAGTTTGTTTACATTTTTTCTTATTTTTATGCCAAAAGTTTACATTCAGTATGGTTTTGTTTATACTGACGCCCAAATAAAAGACTGAATTTATAAAACACATGGCTGCTCGGGGTTTACGTCGGTATGACTGCTAGGGAGCTCTTCCTGCCCACTCTGGTCCTGCACTCCTCCCCACTCTCCTGCCGTGCACTCTGCCCCCCAGCAGGTGGTTTTCTGAAATGGTTTCTCAAGTTGCACTGGCCTCTCCACTATCCCCTACACAACTCAAGTTCTCCCTCCAGGCCTCTGCTTGCTAGTATGCTCATGCCTGTCTTCAGCCATTTAAAACGTACTCATCCCCACCCTCTCCGTGTCACCTTCCCTAACCATCCTGCCTTTAAACTCCCGAAGTATTCTTACTTACCTGACACTTTATACTTTTTTGTAGTTTTTAACAATACACATGGACATCTGATTTCTCTAATAAAATTATCGGTGACTTGAGAGCAAGAATTATGTTTTATGCTTCTTTATATTCATTCATTTGTTCATTCATTCAGCAAATGTTAATTGTTTATGTACTACATGCTGGGTCTGTGCTAAGCCAAGCACTGGGTATACAATGGTAAACCAAATAGGCACTATCCCTGCCTTCATGGAGCTTACAGACGAGTGAGGGATACAGAACTAAAACGAGTCATCACATATATAAATATGTACTTCCACAAGGCATTAAGTTTTTGACTGGAGGATGACAGTGTCATTTTCTGAAATACGTCAGCTAGAGGAGAATCAGTCTGGCTCAGGATGAAAACTGAATTCTATCTTGGACATGATCAATTAGTGGTGGCCTCTTAGCATCCAGGTGAATATGCCACGTCAGCAGGTGACTGTGTGGGCCTGGAGCTCAGGGAAGAGGTCCGGTAAGAGAGATGGGTTTGGGAATCAATGACATGTGTAGCACAAGTAAGGGGAGTGGATCAGACCACCTAAAGGGAAGCAGAGGAGAAAGCCTGGAGTAGTAGGCCAGGGAGAGGAGATGGTTTTAACCAGCAAAAAGCAGTTTTACTTTATGCTAGGTACAAGTCACAAAGACCATATAGTATATGATTCCATCTATATGAAATGTCCAGAATGAGCAAACCTATAGAAATAAAAAGTAGATTAGTGATTGTAGGAGCTGAGAGACTGCTAATGGGAACAGGGTTTCATTTGGGGGTGATAAAAATGCTCTGGATTTAGGCAGTGGTGATGGTTGTGCAACTTTGTGAATATACTAGGAATTCTTTCAAAGGTTAATTTTATTGTATGTCATTTATATCACAATAAGGCTGGGTTCTTTTATGGTTTTAAAGAAGGAAAGATTAGATACGCTTCAAGAAAGGAGTGGTCAGCTCTTGTCAAATGCTCACACTGTAAGATGTAAACTAAAAAAAGGTATATTAATTTTAAAAGCCAGAGGTCACTGGGGACCTTAGCTTGAGCAATATCATTGGAAGATATGAGGGAAGAAAACAAGGCAGGAGTGAGGTGAAGAGCAAATAAGTGGCTTAAATATAGGCATCTAATTTTGCTCCCTTCTGAAACCCCACTAAAAGCACAATAAAGGGATCTTTTAAGGCATAAATCCAGGAGGACAGGGAGCACAGAAACAGCAAAAGCAGCAACACAACATCAGAAACTAGAAAGCGGATGACTTAGCAGACCAAAAAAAGTGGAATCCTAAACCAACTGTGGAGAAAGCTGAGAACCAACCACATTTACCCTGAAGAATCCTCAAAAGCCTCAGGAATTGACAGGAATCTCTGGAAGTCGGAATAAAGAAAAAGGGACTAAAAATGAGGATTATACAAAAAAGTGTTGAGGCCATCCCCCTATGCCCTGCCCTCTTCATCCCTCTACTTTCACTCTGCTTCTAAAATGCTGGCAGCCAGCCCTTAATCCTTCAGATGCTCCTCTATGGGAACTGACCAATCTAAGAGGAAAGACCTAAAGATAGTGATACCGGGATTTCTCAACCAATAGCTCTGCCAGATCTACAGAGAAGTTCAGGGTACACCGGCCCAACCCACATTAAGAGCTTAAGAGCTTCTGATCCACACAAGCAGACAACCAAGGACTACAGACATCTAATGAAATCCCCTTACTCTAAGGATAGAAATCAAAACAGGGAGAAAGGATCTTGATGGAAAGTGAGTAGGCAAGAAGGGGAAACATTTTTAACCATCAGTAATATGATCAGAGAGATGAAGATACTATAGTCATTTTAAAAGATCACAGTGCCATTAAAAAAAAAGAAAATTCAAACAAGTGGTAGGTCTTTGAAATTAAAAACTTGTTAGCAAAAATTGAAAGACATAAGAATGTGAAGATTAAGTTGAGGAACTCTGAGGAAGCAGAACAAAAAGGCAAAAACATGGAAGCTGGAAAGAAAAAATAAGATCAGACAGCCTGTCCAAAAGAAGGCAGACATCTGAATTACAGGAGCCGTAGAAAGTCAGAAGAGAGAGAGTGGAGGGGAGGAGATCATCAACTGTGTAACTCAGT